TTAATTTAAAATTTCATAAAATACATAATTTGTTGACTAAATAATAATAGTTTCTGTTAAAATAAAATATTGTTTTTCTTTTAATCAAGGTTCACTATTTTTGACAATAAATAAAAAAACGGAGTGCCATAAATATCAAGATTCGATTTAAAAATGCCGCGCTTATACGCCGACATATATATATAACGATATATATAGATATACATAACGCTCGACACTCGATGGCCAWGACGAAAAATTCTCGCTACAGCTTGAAAAAATATCAGAAATATATAATACAGAACACTCAACAATCGATAGCCCAAACAAAAAGAATCGCTATCGCTTAAAGAAATATTATCCATTTGTTTTCTCTCTCGCACTCGCATTCATGACCGAGAGATCCCAAGATAACGTACACTAGCTCGCTCGCGTGTAAAGACCAACGAAGAGGCGTGGCTTGCTCCCTCTTTTACGATTACCTTTCACCTTCGTTTTCTCGCTTATTTTTGCAAATACGAAGATACACCTTAGAACATTTTTTATGTATTTTTTAATTATCTACAACTTTTGTTTGAAACTTTTTTCGATTAAATGCCTAGATTCTAAGATACGGCCATTTTTACCTTTTTTTTCGTTACAGCCACATCGTATTGCAAAAAAATTAGCACCATTCGATTCAGCGACGTCGAATTACCTTTGTATCAAACTGTCGAGAACTTCTACCTGAAAGTTTTTCCTTCACCTCTTATTGACTGGGCTATAAAAAAAATATTGAAAGAAAAAACAAAGCATTTCAATGAAGGACGGCGTTGCAAACAAGCACACATACATACGAATAAAACTTGTAAGAAATCTTTATTCTGTTGTTTATATTCTACTTATTGTTAATAGGATTAGAACAAAAGCTCTTAGAAGTTTGTCTCTTTCTCTCTGTTGTTTACCTGAAATCTATATCCGTAATACTGTCAATTGTTCTCGTACATTCGAACAATTCGTCAAATATTTTCGTTTACATTCACGTTTGTTCGTTATCTTGAATTGCTCCCGGTGCTACCACTGCAGCAGTTGCATTTTTCTTTTGTTAACAATCGTTTTTTTCTCCCATTTACACCTCTAAATGCTGCTGCTGTTGATGCTGCTGTTCTTCGACGTACCTACTTCATGTTTTGGACAAGCTATATTGCGTATAAACTTTAACCGAGGGAATATTAAAGATACGTAGATAGATATAAAGAGAAAAGGAGAGATCGTGTTTATTTGGATCAACGCTCGTTGAAATATTGAAAAGTTAGTAGTAAATCAAAACTTAGGCTTTTCTATTCACAATCAGTATAATACTTTTTATATACTATATAAATATGAAATGGTTTTTTGAGAACACACATTGTTCATTCTTTGTAGAAGTAAAAAATACGATATCTATGTTTAATAAAAACAAAGTATGTTTTATTAATGTAAGATATCTTATTTTTATAGATGAGTAATACATTAGATTCGATACAATCATCAAATGTAAGTTATACCCGTGAAGAAATGTCATATTTATTTGGCAGAGATCCTAGTATTTTAGCATACGGACAGAGACCTTGTCCATCTAAAGATGTAAAGAAAAATTTACTTTCTGTATATGAAACAGAAGAATTTGATTCGGTAGAAATCAAAAGCTCGCTTTTTGATTCTCAGTCTTTAAAAACGATTAAAGTCTATTTACGTTTAAAGCCATTTCCAAGAAAAATCAAATTACTACCAGAACAAGAAGAAGCTTATAAAATAACTAATTCCACCACTTTGGTAACTAAGTTTCCACATTTAGAAAATAACAGTTGTTTTGCAAGAGCTAAAAGTAACGATGTAGCATGTAGAACGTATACGTTCACTCAAACATTTGGACCAGAAATAACGCAATTGGAATTATTTGATCGAGTGATTAAGCAACAAATGGTAGATTTCTTAGCCGGACAAAGTTCTAATGTAATGACTTACGGTAAGCGCCAATATATACTCCAAATTCTTATTAACATTTATTTATATATTTTATGCGAACAAATCATATTTCTACAGGTACAACAAATTCTGGAAAGTCACATACATTGCATGGAACAATCACATCGCCTGGCATCATACCACGTGCTTTAGGATTCTTATTTTCTAATATCACTCCAATATCTATACCTTCATATAAACCTATACATTATTGCGATGCAAAATTTCTTAATTCTCTTGAGCAAGCTCAAGAGTTACAAGTTACAACTAAATTGTTAAGTTTTAGTTCGGTGGATAAAAATCAGTATAATAATACTTATAAGGAAATGCAAAATATATTACAAGAAGAATCACAGTTGAAATCTAGCAAATACAGTAATGCTCATTATTCAGTGTGGATATCTTTTGCTGAAATATATAACGAAACTATATATGATCTTTTGACTATTGACTGTCCAAAAAAGAAAGTACCACTAAAACTAGCAACTGATAATCATGGAAGAACTTTTATCAAAGACTTGAATGTTGTCTATGTTAACTCTGGTGCGGAGGCATACCAAGTTTTAATGGCTGGTCAATATAATTTAAAAGTAGCCGCAACAGCTTTAAATGCAAGAAGTTCGAGATCTCATTGCATATTTACTATTAAACTATTAAAGTATTATTCTGAAAATCTAACAGATTCGGTGGATATAAGCACGTAATGTATTTTAATATTTTTACTTCATTTAAATTTAATAAGAAATTGTTCATTAACATTTTTTTAAACAGGTTTTCTTTTTGTGATTTGGCTGGTTCTGAACGCTTAAAGAAAACATTAAATATTGGTGACAGATTAAAAGAAGCGCAAAATATCAATACGAGTCTGTTAGTCTTAGGGAAATGTTTGAAATCAATTTACAACGCTCAATTATCAAAATTCAAATCTGAACCTGTCATTGGACCTTTCAGGGAATCAAAATTAACAAGATTATTTCAAAGAGCATTATCAGGAAGCGAACATATTGCTTTAATTGTTAATATTAATCCTTTGCCAAATCTTTACGTAGAAACACAAAATGTATTAAATTTTGCAGCAATTGCAAAGAAAATAATCATAGAACCTAAAATAAAAAAAACAAGAAAGGCACATTGTTCAAGATTTTCTAAAATGGTTCAGAAAAGTGTACAAAGTGTAACAAACTGGGACGCTGTGGTTTTAGAAAATACAGGTGATAAGATATGTATTATCAATTATAAATAACTTTTATTTTGGATAAGTATCATTGGATTTTTAATAGATTGTGATTAAAATATAAATGCAGATACAAAGATAGAAATGGATGAAATAAAGTTAATCTCTTCTAAAGAATATGAAGATTTGTTACTAGTAAATAAACAATTAAGAAAGGAGATAACGAATCTAAAAAATATGGCTTTAACACGTGACTTTGAAATTCGACAAGAAATGGTAGACATTTATACTACCGCCATTAAAAAGCTTGAGAATGATTTGAAGTATGTATTTATATGTATATAGTATTATATTTTTTCATATCATTGTTATGTAAATTACCATACTTATATCTAGATCTCGTATAAGAGATTTTGAAGAACAGCAAGAAGATACTTTGCAATGGTCAATTAAACAAGTTGAAGAATTCTATAAACAAAAAATTAAGTTAAATAGTCGAAAAAGGATACGATCTTGTTTATCTGACGAAGATAATAATAATAATGAGGATGAAGATAATAATAGTAAAAATTCAAAAGATATTAAAGAGTTGAAATGTGAAATTTCACATTTAACTGCTAAATTAGTGTATATGGAAAATACTATTAATGCATTAAAGAAAAATAATACAATTTTGAGCGGAGAAAAACATAAAACTGTATTTGAATTGAGCTTATTAAAGGAAGAATTAAAACAAACAAAATGTTTATTGGATGCTGCTCAGAAAGATCTGTGTCACGAAGAAGAAACTAAATATTATATAGAAGAGATAAAGTCACAATTATCTTTTAAGAAAGATCATGTCAAGGTAATTAATTAGTTTAACATTTTGTAATTATAATAAACAATAGATTGGTTATTTATAATATCCTATTATAAATAATATTTTAGAAACTTAAAACTTTATTGAACGAAGCAAAAGAAGAATATATTACTATCACAAATGATGCTCGAGAAAAGGACATTCAAATCAAAGAACACGAAGAAACGATGGTGGAATATGAAGACAAGATAAACGAGATGCATGAACAACTCGATCGAACTCAATGCAGTCTTTCAGAGCAAACTAAAACAATTGAAAAATTAGAAGAGAATAATCAAAGGATGGCGAATAAAATAATTGAATTAGAAAATATGTTGAAACTAAAAAATGAAAACTATGAAGATATTTCTTGCAAGCAAGGAATATATCTCTCGTCTATAGATATTAATTATGTAGAAGAACTTTCTCTTTCCTTTTAAATATGACTATTATCATGTTATTATATATATTTTCTCTATATTTTTCCTTTTATTCTTTTCCTTTTACATTACATGCTCAACACGTTGCCAAATTCATATAGTCATATAGGTGACCTAATAGACACACTAAAAGAAGAAGAAAATACGGCTGATTACGTAAGAAATGAGATTTAGTTAGCCGAAATGAAGAATAAAAATGAATACAGTGGAAAAAGGACAAATGTATTTGCGGTAAAGAAGTATGAAAAAGGAAGATGTTACAAGTGTGGAAAAGCCGAGCATTATGCTAAAGAGTGTCAAGATAGTGGTCAGGAGGGACGCGGCGGCGGATCATGGTGAGGCTCGACACGTGGCCGCAGCCGAGACGGAACAGGAACCGGAAGAGGACGCAACTACTATCAAGGCCAGTCCAGGTAACATGGAACAGGTACGAGCGTGCACAATAGCGAAGGCAACAGCGCATGGGTAGCAATGACGCACGTGGCGCACAACAGCGAAGACAAACAGGTTATGCAATAGGATAGGTAAAAAATAGGTAGCCATACTCTTTCCAATACAAACTACGTTTGTTATTACTGTAAATTTGTCAAATCTTAAATCTATTGTATTAATTGTCCAGCGAATATGGCTCATTTATATGTTAGAATCGGACAAATTTTAACTGTTTTAACTGTATTCTGCACGTTTAAAGAGGCCGTAATTTCCGATACGCAACAACTCCCAAATACGAGACGTTCAACACTTTCGTTTCAATTGGTAATTTATAGATGTGTGTGTGTGTGTGTTGTGTGGCGCGCATAATTATTTATTCATAAAAACAGATTGATAAAAACGCTAAAAAGGCTAACTAAACATATCCCTGTGGTTAAAAATTCTAAAAAGAAAATCTTGATTTTGGATTTTAGGACACGTTTTCTGGATTTGGAACCATCGAACGGTATTAGGTGTCCACTTATACTAGATTCATGATTTTACTATATACAGAAATGCCGACTTGAAAGTGAAGACAGCAGACTGACAGTGAGAGAGAGAGAGAGAGAGAGAGAGACAGAGAAATGATGATTAATGATCTATCTCTTTCTGCGTAGACTAGTTGGACAGAGAGACCACAACCTGTTGATAACCTCCGACAATAACATCTCTGACCTTGAGAGAAACCCGTCGACAGCTGTGCGCGCAATAAAAGAGAGATGAAAGAGTAGTCCCGCTATTCTCCTTCTTTCCCACGAAAGAGTGATATTTACGTTGACGTAAGAGAAGTTATGTCATAGAGATTAAAGTCAGATAGAGTCATGGTCAAGGACAGTCCATGTTCTCAGGCATATCTTCGGTCTTATAGTTTTAATAAAAAAAAAAAATGTAAAATCTTAGTCTGTTAATAAAATTCGCAAGCACGTATGTGAATAATGAAAACTTGTTGCGCTTGCTGTATTAAATTACAAGCTAACGAAAGTAATAACATTTTCTTTTACAAGTAAGTACATAACATTAAATTATGTCTATTTCTTTGCTTAGATAAAGATCTTTTGTACATATTATATCAGTAGTTGAAAAATCAAAGTTAGAAAGAAAGAAAGAAATTATTATACTTAATATGGAATCACAGGGAACTTGGACATAAAAAGAAGTAGAACTTAATTTAACTAAGTTGGACGTTTCGTCCCTTTATTGGGACTTCTTCAGCAACTTAATCTTACA